CAAACTATGTCTGATTGTCCACCTGGTTGCCGTGTGAACTTTAATATATTAAATATGATATGTAGTATATGCCCGATAAGGAAACGTAAATTAAAAACTACGAGAACGTTGTTCTTTCATAATTGTCAAAACTGAAGTAAGTATCGTTCAGGAATCACAACTTCAACTCGCAGGTAAAGAGCAATGACTTTCATGGGGTTCCGTTGATTTTATAACCGATCACAAAATTCTGATGCAGTAATTGTTAGGAAACGAAGTTTAATTGAAGTTTGACGTGCTCACAAAAAAAATTGTACAACTAAGACACCGCTTTGATCTTTAATTCAAAGTGATTTTTGTAAGTGTGTGTGTGTGTGAAAAAGCTTAAAACAAAAAAAGTTACTAAAATGAACAAAAGAGAAAGAAAAGTGCCAAGCTTCGATCATAAATTAATTATTTGTGCCGCCTGAATGTAAATATTAAATAGAGAACATTAATATGTTGGCGGAGAATGTTAAGTGTTTCAATCCAGGTGCAACCCAAACTTTGATGAAAATTCTATTCCTAGATATCAATTCCGTTCCATTTGCTCTCATTAAAACCAATTTCTACGAACATTAAGATAAAGATCATTAAGAAATGTAATATTTTAAAGACAGAGTCATATCCTGGAAACGCACAACGCAACTAAAAAAAATATTGATTTGAAAATAAACTGCCAAGTCACAGAATCTTTCTTTCGTTTAGAAAAAGAACAGGATATAACATTATGTCCCATATAACTGATGAACCCGTGCGAAAAAATCTAAATTGTATAAAAGTAAAATCATGATAAACTACTCTAAAGCGCTTGTTAGGTGGCAATGAATAATCTAAAAAGAAGGAATCGACTTTGTTCACAAGATACCTTGCCAGACTTTGGCACAAATTTAAGGATTCTGTCTTGAAAACCTACAAATCAAGCTACCCGAAAAATGAATTTATGGCATCTAATGACTTACCAACCTGAATTGTCTTTACGCTGAAACTGCAACCCACGGTTGTTCATCTCTGTCTTACTTACTTACCTCATCCCTGTCTGTCTGAATTGCGACTTCCGCAGTAGATTGAAAGGAATCAAACATGAAGAATACGGTAAGTTTCCTCGTTGTAGATCATCAGTGTTATGTGATTCTTTAAGTTTGCAGCCACAAACGGTTGTATTTAAAATAAACGTGTTTTAAAAAGGTATTTACCGTTTCCGTTTTAGCTAACCAAAATTTTAACTCGCGCTACGCTAGCAAAAAGCAGTTTGATACTCGCACGATAGACTCGGTGTAGATGGTGACATAGGGTTTTATATGAGAATTTAATCTCAGCGACTAACCGAACATAAAGTTTTTTTATGTTTATTATTTCAATTTTACAACCAAATTGATTTAGCCATGATGAGGAGCTGTTCTAAAAACTCATCCGCTGACCTGATACTGTTTACATCTAAGTTATGACTGTTTTTGTGAATTTTATTTGCACGAGTACTTCTCTTGTAGCTACACCGTCCGAACATACATAATACCATTATTAAAAAAAAAGATACGAACTCGTCAGGGTAATTCGTGCTGAGACGAAATAATTCGAAATTGATTGTGGTGCTTCTTTGAAACGAAAGAACATAAAAATGACAGTGGTAAATCTCATGTTATTCTTAGTGAAGTATCTAGAAGAGGAAGGGCCCAACAAGGAATATTTAGCTCGAGGACGCGGCATGGTTGTTCGTGCGTCAGAAGTGAGAGCCAAATATTTTCCCTCCGGTCCCACCAAATTCAGTCACCAAGCATTTATCCTATGACGTCTAAGTCTTTAAAATTTCGAAATGATGCTTGAACCTGAATAGGGTGCGATTACATCGTAAGCAGACCGCTTACTAGAAAACTTGAACAGGATGAAACCTTATCCCTTATTTCTTCATGTCAGCGATGGAAATTCGTAATTCATGGACTAACACGACTTATTTTCCCATTTCTCTCCTATTCCACACCTAGAATTCTCGTCCTCGAAAAATGTTTAAATGATAAATATGAATTGCGGGTGCGGAGTCGCACGGCTTATTCCAGGTGGGCTTACATCAACCCCCCCC